ACCCAGGCGCCCCTACACAGATTTTTATAAATAGTCTTCTAAGTCTCTACGTAACTGATGCATTTGGTGCTATCCTTAATTTGTTTCACTGAAGTTCTTTTATAAAATAATTAATCATCACTAAATATATAAATCCCTGCTTCTTCTCCCTGAAGCAAAACACACAGGGCTGCCATTGTGAGAACAATTCAATTCCCTATCAAAGCCACAGTTAAAAGCATCTGCCCATCTTGTGACTGATGACCTGGGGCTCAGTTTTGAATCTGCGTGTTTTCTCTATCCACAGCGTATTAGCTTGAAGAGTAATCTTCTTTGTCAGTCAGTCATATGAGCTTCAGTTTCAGCTACTCCAGAGGTTGACTATCTCTTTGAAGTGCCTCTCCACCCAACAGAATGTTCATAGTGAATTTTACAAATGACACATATCCCATATTTTCACTATCAAATGTGGTGGCATTCCATTCAGCTATTTTTGGGTGCTTGAGTATCAGAGAGACAGGCCAAGAGAGAGAAATGTAATTTTATAAGTGTAGGTCAGTAGATTATAGCTGATGGAATTTGAGTGGTGATAAGAAGAAAGAAAACAAAGATTTGGAAATTTCCATTGTGGCAACTGGGTAAGAAGTGATGTCATTAACCAAAAGGAGGGGCAGAATGGAGGGATGAGACGGTGAGTTTAATTTTGGACATGCTCAGTTTGAAGGACCTGTGGAAATTAATATGGAGGAGCTCAGTAGGCAGTAAGACATGAGGCACTAGAAAATCAGGAGCAGGGAGCTGAAAATACGTCTTTGATAGCCTAAGTAGAGGCTGAAGCTGAAGTAGTAGATGAAAGTGCTCAGGAGACTGGCATTGAGGAGAGGAAAAGTGTCTAGGCCTATATGACACGTGAAAGAAAAACTAGAGATACAGTAAGAAGAAGCTATTGCTTTGGTAAAAGTGAGAGGAGGTATGAATGGGTTCATAGTAAAAAATGAGAATGGTGGGAGGAATCCTGCAGGGGCTAAATCCCTGAATGTGGTGAATAAATGGGTGTACATAGAGGGAAGTAAAAAAAAAAAAAAAAAGAATGATTCCAATATTTTGATCTTAGAAGGCTTGGAAGAAGGTAGTACTATTAACTCATTCATTCATTCAAAAATGAAGAGAGCACCATCTATGGTCTGGATACTCTGACACTGATTAAAGTCAGGGAAATGAGTGTGCTTTATGGAGACAGTAATGAAGCTGAATTTATCTAAGTTGAGTATGAGGTGCCTACATGTCATCAAGTTAGAAATGTCTAGAAGATAGTAGCAAAAAAGAAAGGTCAAGGCAAGAGACTGCTTTACAGAGGTAAGAGTTTGAAGTCCCATTAGTAGATGAGATCACTGGGAGAAAAGAAAGGAATGCCTCCATCATTATATATGTACATCTAGATAATACCTATGGATCTTATTTATAGAAGAAGAGGAGGAGGAGAAGCAAACAACAAAATGGGGAAGATACAGTTGTACAAATAAGAGATCTAGGAAGAGTATCACAGAGACCAGGAAGATAAGATTTTCAAGAAGTGATCAGGCTGCTATTCACATCCCACAGATACATCAAAGCAAATTAAATCAGAGGGAAAAGCGCAGAGTTTAGCCTTTCACACAAGAGTTGGGATAGAAATCTGATTACAAAGGACCGTGGGAAGAGCTGACATTGAGAGTAGGGACTTCAAGATGGTATCTTGGTTCATGAAATGGATTTTTAGAACAGTGGAAACTTGAGAGTATTTGTAAGCCCAGAATACTGAACCAGCGAAGATAGAGAAAATGAAAACGTAGGAGAAGAGGGAATAATTGATAGGAAAATGGCCTAGAGGAAGCAAGACAATATGGGATCAAAAGGCTTGGGCAATATCCAAGCAACATATGCCTTCACTGTGTGGTGAATTAGCCTCACTTGTAAGGATTCCAGAGGACTATAGTTAAGTATTTCACATGGAACAGAGGGATCTCTGTGCACCATCGTTTAAGTCGTTTATTTTCAGTTACACAGTGTCTCAGTGCAGACAGAAGGGCCTCTAATTCTCCAAAGAGAATTCTCCACCATATTAGCTCATACTCTCCTGTGAACTAAACAGGAGTGCTGGCAACAGATACTGTATGCTAGGCGGGATGATCACCTTGTCTAGGAGTAAAATAGAAACTTGCAAAGAAAAGAGACAATAATTTCTAAAGAACTCGGGAGGGGAGGGGGGTCAGAAGCTGTATGTTGCTCCCTTCCTTTACGAAAAAAGCCCCTAGGAACTTCCAGAACAAGGTGAAGATCAGGGCACCAAAGCTACTATCAGACATTTCTACCTGTTAATTGTGCCTGAGTTGTTTCTTTCTATTCTCATCTCTGGCCTCAACTGCCATCCATTTGCAACCTAGTTCTACTCAAACTTGAATCCATTGCTTTCTCTCTCTCTCATCCCTTAAGTAGATGATTTATTGTTTTTGTTTGCTTGCTCTTGTTTCTTCATCACTAGGAAACACAGAGCAAGCAACGTCAAAGCGCCTCACGGTGCTGGGAGTGCCACAGAACACGTCCACACAAGTTTACATGGACTCATGAAGTCCTCGCGCGAGTAGCAGCTACCCAGGGCTGGCCGAAGCCAGGAGCGCACGCCCTGACAGCACCGCCAAGCCCCCAGCCCGGAGCGACAGGCTGCAAGGCTGCAAGGCTGCTCTGCTCGGGGCTCAAGGAGTGACAGCCCCGAGGAATCCCCACTGGGGCCGAGCTCTCCCCTCCCGCCCCTAGCCAAGCTTTTTAAAATCGAGTAGCCTTCCCTCGCCTCCAGGAGCTCACAAAAGGCTGCCACACCAAGCGAACGCAACGCGAGCACACGTCCACACACAGCACATGCACGAGACCGGCGGGGTGTGGAACGGAGGCGCACAGCGCGCAGTGCACGCACAGCATGCACACGCGCGCACCCCGACCCCGTCCCTCCCTGCGCTCCCCCGGCGCCCAAGCCTCCCTCCCTCGAACCTCACCAGACAGCCGGGTAACTTTCCAGGTGCGCAGCTTGTCACCTTGGCGCCGCCGCCCCTGCGTTTCCGCGTCCTCTCCCGTGCCGCCCT